GACCTAGCGGCTGGAGAGATAGAAAGATGAAATACGTAAGTCAAAATGTGCGAGGCGGCTGACTTTGTCGCGCCAATCGATCCACGACTTGTTCTTTGTGACACGACATACCCGGGATCAAGTGGTATTGTCAATGTCTGTTGCGAAGAACGTCTCCGGGTGTCAAAGGCCCCAGACCTTACGGTATATCCCTACGGTCATCTGGTACTTTTAAAGAGCACCATGCGTTAGTATCATCCAGATTGGACGATTTCCTTCCTTCTCTCAGAGCATGGGCGAAAATGTCGCAACCTTTTGTGATCGTCTGACAGCGTGCATTATTTTTGACTCGTCAAAATGGTCTCTGAGACCCCGTGCATTTGTTGATACCACGAGCAGTTCTCTGCTACTCATTACCTTATCGAAAGCACTAAGACTCTCCGGGGCTAAGTTCCGATGGTGCGTGACACCCACACACCATTTCAGACAGATCGTTTCCATTAGGGCGCACCGCCCTGAATGTTGAAACAACTCGCTGTATTCGTAGGCAAGACTTTTGCCTTTGACCTTGCGAGGCCACGGTGGAAGCTTACAGACGTTTTTTTCAGCCTTGGACCGGTATGTACCATGATTTTGACTTGCCGTACCTATAGCAACAAATGTTGCTTTGCCCATCTCAGACCGGTTTCAGCTAGAAAGCTACTGTTGTTATCATGAAGGGCGCAACCCTGCCTACCCATGAAGGATGTACGAGCCTGCTTATGGGTGTGCTCCACCCGGGCCGCGATCTGTATCGCATTGTTTGCTTTCGAGTCATACAGTTACAAAGCTGAAAACCAGTCGAGCTTACTTATTGCATCATCATGAACGTCGTTGCCTGGATGTTTTCAGCTAGAGGCTTTTCAATCAACATGCCAACTATACGCGCATTCATGAACGTTTGAGTTTATTTAGCGTCTTTCATGTTCAAGGCAAGAAAGTGCAAGCGCTGACCGAAACCATAATTTGTTGGTAGGAAGGTGGCAACGAAGTTCCTCACAAGCTGTTGATATTCCAACATTTAATTGCTTTTTAATTTACAATTTACTTTTAGTATATAATTACTGCGGGCAGAATATAAAACTTCCAGCTTCATCGCTGCGCCTCAAATTCCGCTGACAGGAAATAACAATCTGACCTTGAATCTGCTTGTTTGTGATACGAACTGTTGCTATAGCTAGCTATAACTCACGGACGAACCTACTTATCCTTCAGCCCTCAGAGGTGCGCTCACCAGTATCTGTCGCGACACGGGCTCTGGCATACTCGCTCTGAGCGAGTTCCTTATGCTCTTCGCTTCCATACCTTCAACCTGCTCAGCCGGCGATGACGACGCTAATCTTTCTAGAGCCTCATCCTAGATGAGTGCACTATGTATATACCAAAGAAGTATCGTACTTAAGTGATCTGCGCGTATTCTTGTGAAGGTGTCCGTGATGTCCAAGCGCGTATTTGCATGTGAAATGTCGCATAGGTCGCTTGGTCATGAATATAGTTGGGCTCATTAGACACCTTGCTTGGTATATTGCATTTTTTCAGCAGACTTATCCAGAGTGTAACGGGGTTACATGTATTTTTGTATAAAGAGTCGGGCCACACAAGATGTGTGTTACCACAGCTTAACAAGGAGCCACTACGTGGCGGGTCTGCCAGCAGTTAAGTATTATAATTAGGTTTTACTATTTAACTAGGAGAGCCTATAGATTTGGGTATAGGCGGCTCCGCCGCAAACAAACAAAAGGATTTCAAGTTAGATTTTTAACGGAAGAGTGTATTTGCCTTGGGTTAAGGTTTTCGGTACTTTGGAGTTAATGGATTGCGATCTGCTACACTCATACTGGTTCTTGTATAGTTCGTAAGGTTGGTGACCTTAGCTTAGCTTCCTAAGTAAAGAGCTACGGCAGCCCCGCTGCACAGAGAGCAACACCATTGTTTTGATTCATCTGAATCACATGTATTTCGATAGTATGCAATCTCGCGTGTGTAGGTGCGACTACAGGAACAGCCACTGACAGAAATTATGCAGTCTCCAGGGAGCAATAGTTTGCATTCTCTGGCGAAAGCGGTCGCGTAATTAGTAACATTTCCAGTCATAAATTGAATCCAACCAAAGCTAACTACTGTGCAATTATAATAACCCACCAATGTTGCTTTATTTAGTATCGAGTCTTCATGTTAGGGCGTTTGGTTAGACGTGATCACGTACATTACACGGGGTGCCTCTGTTGGAAACAAGTTATGTCGTACCTAAGTAAACCAGGAGGAGTTTTGAAACTCCCATAAGCATGATACATTTACTTGGAAACTTACCTTCAAACCACCAGGTCCTTCCTTCCTATCTGACAT